GCCTTATTCCCAATCTTATGGTAAAAATATTCAGAATTTCACCATTCAGTACAGTATTAGCTGGAGGTAGTTCATATAGTTATCTTTTATCAGGTTGAGGATGTTTCCTTCTAGTCCTAGTTGGCCAAGATTTTCAAAAAATCGTTTAATTTTGTCTAATACTTTCCTCACATTGAGATGGTCACATCATTTGACATCTTTCTCCCTTGATCTGATATTTGGCGAATCACATGCGTTCACTCATGTCCAGCCAACCTTGAATTCTGGGGACAATCCCATGTGTACTTGATGCCTATGCTTTTCATGTACTGCTGGGTTCATTTGCTAATAATTCCTTAAGAACTTCATGTCTGTGCTCTTGAAGAATTTTCTTGGTAATTTCCTTTTCTTGACATGACCTTGTTTTGCTAGCCTCAGAAAAATGAGTTGGGAAGGGTTCCCTTTCCTCTGCCTTCTGAATGAGTGTGCATAGGATTCATATAGTTTCTTCCTTAAATATTTTTTAGAGCTCATCAGGAAAGGTTTCGGGGCCTGGAGTTTTCTCAGTGGGAAAGTGCTTTTTGTTTGTTTGTGTTAATGGTCTCAATTTATAGAACTACGCAGATTCCTGTCTCTTCCTCTGCTAGTGCTAGTAACCTATGTCTTTGAAGGAATTTAATCATTTCCTGGAATCACATGCTCTATGTGCATAAAGTTGTTCATATTATTTCTCTTTAACTTTATATTTTGAAAAATTCTTTGACTTCAGAAAAGCTGTAAAAAGAGTATGGAGTTCCTGTATACCTGTTGTTATTAATCGACTACTATCAACCTTATCTGGATTCCACCAGTTTTCCCATTAATGTCCTTTTTGTATCAGGGACACCCAGGGTGCCTCATTAACTGTCATGTTCCATGAGTCCGACAATTCTTCAGTCTTTAATTGCATCTCATGACCTTGATACTTGAAAATTCTGGTCGGTAATTTTGAAGAATTTTGGGGCTTGCCTGATGTTTTCTCATGATTAGATTAGAGCAATGCATTTTTGTAAGACTGCAATGGGAGTGTTGCGGTATCCTTGGCGCTCCTTCTGTGCACAGATTCTCCTCTCTCTGCCCTGCCCCAGAATTCCAGCAGGATTAGAGGCTGAGGAGAGCCCTACTGCCTTCCATCCTCCTCCACTCCCAACAGTGCGCAAAGTCCCCCACTCTGCCTGCCCCGCTGGCCTCCTACCTCCCTGGGTCTTCCCCCCACCTGCCTCCTTCTCGCCTCCCCACAGAGAGCCAGAGTGTCGAGGGGCTCACCTCATGTGTTTACCTCTGGCCCCCCGTCCCACACTGTTGTCTGACAGGAAAACAGCCTCGTCATGGTGTGTGTCCAGTGTCCAGCTGTTTACAGAGAGCAGAGTAGCCTGGGCCATCTTTCCGCCAATACCCCCTCAACCCCTACACCCCCCAGCACTGCAGGGGGTCATAAGTCGGTACCCAGAAGAATTAAGGACAGGAGCTGTGCTGGCTCCATCTCAGGCTCCTGGGAAGAGCAGGCCTTCTGTGGGCAGAGGCCATGTGTTTTCTTTCTTTCTGCCTGGCACCTTGACCCACACAGCTTCAGGGTTCCCTCTAAGACTGAGCTCTACAAGAGCCCATCGTCTTTCAGGGCACATGAATCACTTCCAGATGACAAGAACCACAGTGGTTTTTTTAGTGTTCAGAACAGTTACCTCTAAGCCAATTCTATGTCCCCGGTTCTGACCCAGTAGCAGAAGATCAGGAGCTGAACAGGGGCTTCATTTAGTCATTTTACTATCACCCGGTCAGCTGTGGTTTCTCTGACCTCACAGAGGGATGGCCATTTTGCTGCTGGCACTTTTTTTTTGTCAAGTCAACTCAACTTTCTGCTTTCTGCTGAAGGAAGATGAATAAAATCGAACATACAGGCTAAATCAAGTAATTATACCTTTTAGTGCACCTGATAATTTCTTACCCAGCTGGTGCTGACAGTCAATCAAAATGCCATAAAAGGTGCTTTGGGATGTGCTAATGATCCTCTGCACCCTGTCAGGCATGGTGGGACATGTTCAGCTCTCGGCATCACACACCTGCGCAAAACAGACTGACAGGCCCGTCCTCCAGGGCTTCCAGCCGGGGCTGCCCCTGCACTGGGGACCCCTCGCTTTATGTGTCCCACCTAATGAAACTGCCATTTGATAGGGTCCCCGATAAAGTCCTTTGAAACAATTCATACATTAAAAAAATTAATCCTCACCCGAGGTTATGTTTTTATTGATTTCAGAGACAGGAAGGGAGAGAAAGAGAGAAACATCGATGTGAGAGCAAAATATTGATCAGTTGCCTCCCACAAGTGCCCTGACCAGGAACTGAACTTGCAACCTTTTGGTACATGGAACGACGCGCCAACCAACTCAGCCACCCAGCCAGGGCACATTTCATACATTTTTATACTTTTTAAAGCCAGCAAGGAGAGAATCCAACATCAAGTCTTAGATGGACAAAGAACCATGGACAACGAATAATTTCAATGTTTCATTAAAAGGAACCATGAAAATGACTATTTTTCTAAATAAATGGGAAAGTAAATTTAGAGAAAGCATCACACCTGATTGTGTGGAATCCAGACACATAATCCCCCCAACATGGTGTCTCCCAGTATCTGTAGCTACTCATACTTGCCCAGGTAGGGAACCTTGCCAACCACTCCTATTCCAAATGGGGTGCTCTCCAGGCTTCTACACTCCGTCTGCCCCTCTGGTTGGCACTGCCACTGCCACAGCCCCTGGGGGCCTGCTCACTGCCCACGCAAGTGGACGTGACCAGTCACACTGGGCCCTGGCCCCAGCCTGCTGCCCCAGGTGGAACTTGTCTCTCTTCATCCAGCTGTTTCCAGTGCTCCCGGGGCCCCAGCCACAGGTAACCCAACCACAGATGGCCACTGTGCTGTGATGAAAGCCGTCGAAGAGGGAATCTGAAGAATATGTGAATGGGCTCTTGACAGTAACAGAAAGAACTAGGAGGCATGTGCCTTTAGGACTCAGATCCTGCTCAATGACTGGCACGTCCCCCCTTCACAGAGCTGATGTCCATCAGTGCTGGCTAAGAGCTAGTGCTGGTCAAGTCTATGAACGGATGTGAAAGCTGACAGTGAAGAAGGCAGGCAGGAAAAGACTGACTCATTTGAACTGCGGTGTGGGAGGAGAGCTTTACGGATACCTGGGACCAGCAGAAAGAGGAACAGGTGGGTCCTAGAGCAAATTAAGCCTGAAAACTAGCTGGAGGCGAAAATGACACCACTGCAGCTGTCCTACTCAGGCACATCATGAGAAGACAGGGTTCTCTGGAAAAGGCAATGATGCTGGGGAAATGGAAGGCAGCAGGGAAAGAGGAAGACCAAATATGAGTAGACTGACTCCACAGAAGCAGCCGTGGGCATGAGTCTATAGGAACTGAGCAGGGTTGTTGAGGACATGACACTGTTGACATCACTCGTTCAGAGGGTCACCAGGAGTTGGAGTTCACTCGAGGGCATGTAAAAGCAGCAACTGGTCAGCATTCGAGGGCTATGGAGCACCAAACATACAGGGAATGAGGGCATCACATAACAACAGCCACAGAGAGGTGTGAGAGCTGGCTGAACAGAGGGCAGGAGTGCAGGCTCACACACAATACAGAGGGAGCTGAGCACTGGATGAAAAATGGGACAGCCACATCATTTTAGAGGCCTCACCACAAAACATTTGCTAATTACACTGTGGAAAAAGGCAATGTTGTGGGAGGACTAGCTGGGCCCACCTGAGCAGCGAGGGGACAGATGGACCCTGCCCCCAGGAGGAGAGTGTGGGGCCTCCTGCCAGGGATGCCGGACCTCAGGCTGCTCAAGGGCACATCAGACAGCAGCAGTGTCGGGTCATGGGGTAGGGAGACTGAGGACTGTCTGGACTAGAGGGGACACAGCGAGGTGGTCCCTGTGGATGCAGCACCGACTCCTGGTGACCCTATGGACAAGTGATGCTGACAGTGTCCTGTCCTCAACAGCCCTGCTCAGCTTGTATTGACTCATGCCCATGGCTTCTTCTGTGGAGTCAGTCTACTCATATTTATTCTCAGGCAGGTCAGGAGCAAGTCCTCTGCCCTATCCCCCAACAATTCTCCAAGTCTGTGAGTGTCCCTCAAGGGAAAACTGAAAGCAAACAGATGCTTAGCATATCTGTATGACAAGGTTTCCAATGTAAGATAATTTAGTAGTTTATAATGTTTTTTAAAAAAATTAAGATCTTATTTATGAAGGGTGAGAAGTAGAAGAGAGAGTGAAAAAGAAGGGAAAACTGCTAACTTCTCTGTCTACAGCCGGAAGTCAGAAGGAACCACTTCACTCCTAAATTTTAAAGCTCAGATAATGTTTCTGAGAAATATTAAGGCAACTGCTAGTGAAATTAAAGGCAGGGCATGCACTTTCAAAGGCTCTGTGGAAGACAGCAGCTAAGGAACCCTAGTCTCCAGGGCTGAGCACAGCACAGAGCACACAGCTGCCACCGACGGGCCGCTCTGGAGTAAAGGGAACAGCTGAGCCCACTCCACTCCCCGAACCCAATGAGCAGGGCGTCCAAAAGAAAAGGCTAGCGGCAGAGAGCTGGAAGGGAAGCCAGTGTGGCTTCTCCGGTTGAGAAGCACAGGTGAGGTCGTGCCCTTCTTCACTGATTTAAAGGGATGTGAGATGTTTCCGACATTCCAGAGACCACCAGGAAGGCTGGTGAGAAGGCAGCACTGAGAGGCTCTACCCCATGGGTTTCTGTGTGAAATGACCTGAGTTGAGGTTGTTGTCCACAGTGTGAAGGACCAGGGAAGCCAATGGAGTTTCCAGGACTTAAAAATGGGGCCACAGGACATCACAGAAAGAGGCAGAAGGGGCCTAGTGGGCCCAGCCCAGCCAATGGGCAGACAGTAAGGCGAGGGACTCATTTTTAGTACATTTCCCCCAAAATATTACAAATAAAAGTTCTACTTACTGCTCCGAGCATGATTCTGAAAATCAGCCACCGATAGCCCCACAGAACAATCCGGGATGTGGGGGTCTTCCTGGGCAGTCGAGACAGAGTCCAAAGAGGGCAGAGGAAAATCCCCAGGAACCCCGTTTCCAGAAGCTGGAACTCCCATCCTGAATGGTGACAGTAAGAGAACAGAGGCCATGTTAACCACAGCTGGACATTCTCTACAGAAACAGTCCCACCGAACTCAGTGTAACTTTAATAGGGCAGAGTAACCAAGGAGCACGTGTCAGCCCACAGTCAAGGCACACTCAGTGGCAGCAGTGGCAGCTACGGCACTGTGCCCCCATGCCCGAGCCAACACGCTGCATCAGGCCACTGCCCCGTCCTTCTCAGGGCACTGCAAACGGGACACGGCCTCGTGCTGAGCACACTCTGCCAGTGGGGGCAGGGAGGCCTCTTTCATTCAACAGGCTTGCATTTGAAACCACAGCTCTATGCATTCTTCCCAGGAGCATTCACCAGGATGGGCAACGCACACCGAGGCCAGAGACCTGCATGTGAGGTTCTGAATGCAAAGCTGACTCTGGTCCCTGTTGCCCCAGACGAGGGAGGAAGTCACAGGGAGACATAGGACAGGTACAGGTGATACAGCCTGTCTGCCCCAAGTGAGAAAGTCACAGGGAGACATGGAACAGGTACATATGACACAGCCCCCCTCTGCCCCAGGTGAGATAGGAAGTCACCGGAAGACATGGGACAGGCACAGGTGATACAGCCTCTGTCTGCGCCGAGAGAGGAAGTCACAGGGACACACAGGGCAGGTAGAGGCGAACCAGTCCCCATCTGCCCCAGGTGAGGGAGAAGCCAGAGGAGTTACAGGTACAGGTGACACAGTCCTCAGATGAGGAAAGAAGCCACGGAGAGACGTTGGGCAGGTATAGATGACATGGCCCCCTCTGCCCCAGGTGAGGGGGTAAGGTGCAGGGAGACACGAGACAGGTACAGGTGACATAGCCTGTGTGCCTCAAGTGAGAAAGTCATAGGGGGACACAGGACAGAGCCCCTGTCTGCCTCAGGCTGAGACAGAAAGTCACAGGAAGACATGGGACAGGGACAGGTGACACAGCCTGTCTGCCCCAGATGAGGGAAGAAAGCACAGGGAGTCAGAGGTGTAGGTAATGTGGCCCTCATCTGTCCCAGGTGAGGGAGATAGGATAGGTACAGGTGACATGGCCTCCACCTGCACCAGGTGAGAGAGGAAGTCATAAGGAAATACAGGGCCAGTACAGGCGACAAAGCCCCCATCTTCCCCAGGTGAGGGAAGAAGCCGTGGGGAGTCACGGGTACAGGTAACATGCCCTTGTCTGCCCAGGTGAGGGAGTAGGTCAGGGGGAGAAACAGGAACAGGTGATGGCGGCTCTAGATGGAAATTTCTCCTGTCAGCCGCCTGGGCTCAGTCGTTATGCAGGCAGCTGTTCGGTTAGACGTGAGGGGTGCTAGCCAATTCTTCCCGCTGGGAGCCCCAGGTGAGAAATGCAGGCGAGTAAGTGCACCTCAGTTCTCATTCTCAGAGCTGGCACTCCAAGTTCTCCTAAAAACTCAGAATTGGCCCCCGCTTTGGAAACAGCTGCTCACACTGTGTTACCTGGAACCCAGGACAGGTTTCAGGGAGTTTTAAACCAGGCTCTTCAAAAGGAACCTGCACTTCGTTTTGAGTATTGCACAAGTTCCTGTTAAAATATCATGCTGCATGGAAGATGCATTAGACGGGTATATATTCTGTGGTTCCATTTATAGACGGTTCTAGAATGAGGAAAACTGAAGCAGGTGAAAGAAATCGGAACACAGCTGCCTGGGGAGGCGGGCGGGGGGACATGGAGTCTGCACTTGGTCAGGGGGTGGGTCACGGGTGTCCTTGCCAAGACTTACCAGAGGCACCTTAGGATGTGTGCATTCTGGTTTAGTTTCTTCCTCAGACATACAAACCTATACAAATTCTGAACCCTAGTTTCAGGGCTGATGAACAGCCCTTCAGGCCTGCAACTTGTTTTGTATTGAAGATTAAACCGAGGAACGAATAGACGTGATGTAGCCAGCAGAGCGAGAGACAAACTGCAGAGTCCAGGCGGGGGGCTCATAGGTTTCACCGCACAACTGTTCGAAACTCTCTGTAGTTTGAAATTTTTCATAAGAT